TATTATATTATATATATAATGAATATTACTCAGCCATTAGAAATTATGAATACTCACCATTTGCTTTAATGTGGATGGAACAGGAGGGTATTTTGCTGAGTGATGTAAGTCTATTTCGATTACGACAAACATTATATGGTTTCACTCATACAGGGAATATAAAAAATGTGAAAGGGATTATAAGGGAAAGGAGAGAACATGAGTGGGAAATATTAGAGAGGTTGACAGAAAATGAGAGACTCCATATCTGGGAAATGAACAAGGGGTAGTGGAAGGGGAGGTGGGTGGCAGATCGGGTGACTTCATGACAGGCACTGAAGGGGGCACTGGACACAATGAGCACTGGATGTTATACTATATGTTGGCAAATCGAACTCCAATAAAAAAATACCAAATAAAGGAAAAGAATAAATTCTTGTTATTTAGAACAGCAATAGTAGGCATTGAGGTCTTTAACTAAGTGAAAAAGTCAGATAGAGAAAAACAAATATACCGTGTGATCCACTATATTTTGAATCTAAAAAATATAACAAGAAAAAACAAATCAACCTCCTACATATAGAGAACAGATTGATGGTTGCTGTTGAGTGAGGGATAAAATTGGTTAGAGAGGTAAATGGTACAAAAAACAATTATGTAAAAAAAATAATCAAATATGTAAGTTGTGGGGATGTAATGTGCAGTATAGTGAATACAGTATAGCTTATACTGTATTGTATATTTGAAGTTCCTAACAGAATAGAATTTAAAAGCCTTCACTAAAAGAAAAATATTTGCAAATATGTAAGGAAAACTTACACTTGTCATCATTTTGCAATATATACAAATATTGAATCATTTTGTGATACACTTGGAACTAATACCAAGTTGTATGCCAATTATACCCCAATTAAAGACATAAAACAAAGATATCCCCCAAATATCTGGAAATGAGAAGTGTTCTAAGTATGCAAGGATCAAAGGGAGAAGTCACAAAGGAAATTAAAACATATATTGAATAATTAAAAATAAATATGTCACATATCAAAATTTATCATGAAACTAGAGCAGTCATTAAAGTTTGACATTGTCAATATTAGAAAACAAGATATAAAATCAGAAATCTATATTTCCACCTCAAGTCTATAGAGAAAAGAGTAAGTGAAACTGAAAACAAGAAGGAAGGAAATAATAAAGATTATGGCAGATATTAATGAAGTAAAAAATAAACAATGGAGAAAAGCAATGAAACAAGTCAGCTGCCTGAAGTGATCGATAAATTTGATAAACTTCTAGTTAGGCTGAACGAAACAGAGAAGACAAAAATTATCAATATAAAAAATGAAACATGGGGATCCCTGGGTGGCGCAGCGGTTTGGCGCCTGCCTTTGGCCCAGGGCGCGATCCTGGAGACCCGGGATCGAGTCCCACATCAGGCTCCCGGTGCATGGAGCCTGCTTCTCCCTCTGCCTGTGTCTCTGCCTCTCTCTCTCTCTCTCTGTGACTATCATAAATAAATAAATAAATAAATAAATAAATAAATAAATAAATAAATAAATAATGAAACATGGGGCTTCAATACTGTCCCCATGGACATTAAAAGGATAACAATGAATAATAAGAACTCTATCCTCACAAATTCAACAAGTGAGAAAAAAGAGACTAATTACTTAAAAGACAAGAACAACCAAAACTCAAGCAAAAGAGACAAAATAAAAAGTTCTCTATTAATTAAAAATCTTTTAAAAAAACAAAAGAAAGAAGAAAGTAAAAAAAAAGAGAGAGAGAGAGAGAGAGAAAGAGAGGGAGAGAGACAGAGAGAAATTCAGGCCAATATTTTTTCACTAATGAATTCTACCAAACATTTAAAGAAGAAATAGTATTAATTCTATATAAATTTATCCAGAAAAGGAAGGCACAATAGACAAAACAATTATGAAAAAAAGAATAACGTTTGAAGGCTCACATCCTATTCTTACCCTATTCTAAGACTTACCAGAAAATTGACATAATTTGGACATTATGGTATTGAGGAAAGCATAGATATGGCACAACAATGGAACAGAATAGAGAGGACAGAAATTGACCTGAGTATGATTAAACAATTTTGACAACTTGTTAAGGCAATTCAATAGAGAAAGAAATTTCTTTCAAGAATGTTTCCTAAAAAGGTGTATACCAATATAGTGGTGGTGATATTATGGGGGGAGAGGGTGAAGATGAACAAATTAGCCCATATGTTTCCTGGAGAAAAAGTTTGTGATGATAATTTCTCTCTCTCAAGTTAATTTACCTGTGTTTGCCTCCTAATAATTCCAGTGTCTCCGTGAACCCCTTTCACTGTGCCATACTTACTTTATGTAAGTGTTAAACTTCTTCATTTTGGACTTGTATCCCCACAAAGTCCCTGAGTGAGTGAATTAGACCCCATTTTGAGAAAGGGAAATGTTTTGAAGTGATTTACCAAAGGTCAGACAGCTAGAAAGCTGCACAACCACCTTCTTTGCTCACTCTCACACAAATATCCACCTGTGTGTACACGGCATCTCCATTCTGAGTTCAAATAGCCACAGTTATATTTCTGAGCTCGTTTCCTGACTCCTCTGCAGTCATTACAATTATGCAGGAAAAAAGGCATCCCAACAAAGATCACTAGAGTTTACCTCCCACTTTCTCGATGACGTCCCCCAGAAAGTGATTTCATTTGTCCCTTGCTATGCTGACTTAGGACTGCTGCAATAGGAGAGAGAAGCCTGACCTGGGAATTGGACATTTCACCTCACCTGCTCCAACAATGTCCTACTTCAGAGAACCAAAATTTCATCTCACAGCTCCTAAACTGGAGAGAAGTTAGGACAGAGACTATATTACAACATTGACCCAGTCTTCTACAAAATGCCTTCAGACAATGGCATGGACAATCAAGGGAGAGGGGTTTCCCTTCCTCAAAAACATAAACTCTCTGATGATCTGAGTCACTACCACCAAACTTAGGTCAGGAAAGGGAGTTTTGTGTTCAAGAAGTCATGGGGGGAACAAAAAAGTTAAGGCATAGTGAAATCTTATTCAGGGCTACTGCATGACAAAGTTCACTCCAGATGCCTAAAGTGTTGGCCAATTATTCATGGCACCTCCTCGAGGAGCTTTAGAAGGTCCTTCAGACAGAGACTGAGTGAGTTTTGCAGGATTACATAAGAAGGACCCAAAATTGCACACAATCATTGATTGACTGGGCTCATAGGTCTTGAATTATAGACACCTCCCAGCTCTATCTCCTCCTCCCAGACCCCAACACCTCTATCTTCTTAACAGGTCCCTCTTTCACACTTTGCACTTCCAGGGGAATCCTTTAAGCTGTTTATGTATGCCAGCCAGGCACACGAACACTCTTGTTAATGTTGGGATCAGTCTGATGAAACCAAAGTACTAATACTTATTGTACTGCTTCCACCTTCTTCTGAGCTCTTCCTTCCCACAGTGAAAGATTCATTTTCTTGTCTCTTCGGGAAACTCAGGAACTTTTAAATAAACCCCACAGCTGTAAGTATTTGATAACTCTCATCTTATCACAAGTATCTTCCCCAAGGCACCTATAAAGACCCTTTGGATTTGTCTTTTTCTATCTTAAGGCCACCAAATTGGAAGGAAAAGGCCCAAGGATCTTGAAAAAGTCATGACTTCTGGAGGAGAAGAAGATTGTGTAGGAACAGTGCTGGCCACATTGGTTGATGAGATGAAAAAGGTGGAGTATTTGCTCGCTGTCCGTGCTCTTTATTAGGATAGATGGGATTTGGTGGCAAGATGGTAAGCAGTCTGTATCCTGCTGGTGTGAATTCTGCACTGGGAATGCATGTGAGAATCTAAGGAACAAAAATTGTTAAATGCAATGTGGCCATACACAAGGGTCAAGAGCTCCTTTCCTTTGAGTATTTCACATGTATTTTACATGAAGCAGCACAATCACTCACTTTCTCCCTTCTTGCCTCCTTTCTGCCCTCCTGCAGACTTCTACTGAGCAGTGGGGGAACAAGCTGTAGTGGGGAAATTGTGGGCCAGTAGTACCCTCCTCTTTACATCTGTGCTTTTCACTCTCTGGAGTGAGCCTTCAGAATAATAAGGGATCTGAGAGATAGCCTCACTCATGTATATCTGTTATACCATGAAGCATTTATCAATACTATACCAGTAATGGGGAAGGAGTGGGAAAATTTAATTACAGTAATAGCAGGAATAACAATCCATGAGCTTTGAGTCAGATATTGTTTTTGCTGGTCCCATTTCACAAGTTTGATGTGAAAATTTGGGTGAAAGCAAAAGACATTATTCTTCCAACTTGTGTAATTGAATTCATCTTTGCTTTCCAGGCTCATTCTTTTTTTAAATAAAAGTAAACTGTTTATTAAAAGATACAGCAAAGGGGATCCCTGGGTGGCGCAGCGGTTTAGCGCCTGCCTTGGCCCAGGGCGCGATCCTGGAGACCCGGGATCGAATCCCACGTCGGGCTCCCGGTGCATGGAGCCTGCTTCTCCCTCTGCCTGTGTCTCTGCCTCTCTCTCTCTCTCTCTCTCTCTCTCTCTCTCTCTCTCTCCTGTGTGTGTGTGACTATCATAAATAAATAAAAAATAAATAAAAAAATAAAAGATACAGCAAAGGTACAGATACAGAGATACATACAAAGATACAGATATATATATATTTACATAAATATACAGTCTTGCTGTTTTCATGTGCACTATACTTAGCAGCACATTAATCAGGCAGCATTTTTGTTTGTTTGTTTGTTTGTTTGTTTATTTATTTATGATAGGCACACAGTGAGAGAGAGAGAGAGGCAGAGACACAGGCAGAGGGAGAAGCAGGCTCCATACACCGGGAGCCCGACGTGGGATTCGATCCCGGGTCTCCAGGATCGCGCCCTGGGCCAAAGGCAGGCGCCAAACCGCTGCGCCACCCAGGGATCCCTCAGGCAGCATTTTAATGGGGTTGTTTTGACACTTGGCGTTATTACTGTGTCATTTGGACAAGATACAACTATAGCCTCATGGAAATTTCAAGGTGTAAATTCCACTTCTCCAATTTTTAATAGTAGCAAAGAGGGGAAGGAGAAGGGAAATGGAGTACCAAGGCTCAGCATTAGGTTAAACACAAGAATTCCAAAGGGCCACGGTAGCACAGGGAAGGGAAAATGATTAAAATTAAAGACTATCTGACAAACAACCCAAAGAAACCATTGTTTAAGGGCAATGGGCTATGTATCCAAGATGCTCACACATCAGCCTACAATGACCTTTTCCAATCCAGTTCTTGTGTTGAACCTGAGGATCTGCCTCTCTCTGCTCGATCCCTCCACCCAATAAATTTGCTACCACCAAAATCTAGAGCTATAGAGCCTTGAAGCAAAACGGAAAGCTAAATAGTTGTAGCTTGGGCTACCTTCCCATAAGTGCAAGGAGGGCCCAATGTTGGGTAAGGATGTGATAACACTGTTCTCTGCAATTCGATGCTTTTCACTTTGTGGCTTGGTTCCACAAAGTGAATTGTATCGAGTTACTGTCAAATGAGAAGCTGCGGGTTGTTTCATTTGTTGTCTAACCTGGCCCTGCCGTTTAACCTGCCCTCAGAGGGCAAATTGCTGCTGAAAACATTATCATCATCTTTGTTTTCTTCACCATTTTTCTCTACAGGAACCCACTCTCCATAAACACCATCTGCTTCTTTTTTTCGATGTTGAGATCCAGATGACACAGGAAATTCTTCTGTTAATGTTACCTGGCTTTTTGGTGGAGTTGGTTTTGCTGCAGCAATATTCAGATTGAAAAAAATGGGTTTGGGTTCACTGAGTTTAAAGGGATGATGATAAAAAGGAGGTTCTTCCTCTTCATCCGAAACATGAGGCTTATTACATCATCATCTTCTTTACTCTGTGCGATCTGTTTGCATTTCTCAGTTCTTCTATAGTAGCTCCTCCTGATTTTTTAGCAACTTTCTCTTCTATTGTGGGTGGAGGTGCAGGCTTTAGGTTTGGCGGTAAAGGAACACCAGCCTTAGCACACATGGCAGCTGCATTAGCTTTGGCTATTTCAAGTAATTGAGCCTTATACAAATCTGTCAGACGTTTAGGTGATCTGCCTCTTTCAGAAGACCTGGATCGTTTACGACGGATGGGAGATCTGCTGAACCTTCTTCTCAAGGGTGTTCGTGATCCTTTATCTTACTGGTGAGCTACTAAAGCTTCGTCTCCTTACCACAGACCTTGATCTCCGGCGGCTCGGGGTGCGGCTCCAGCGACTCGGGGAAATACTAAAGCTCCTCCTCCCCACAGATCAAGATCTTCTTCGGCAACTGGGAGTGTGACTCCGACTCGGACGACTTGGGGTGCGACTGCGAGCTCTAAGTGTTTTCCGGTTATCCCTAGAACTTGATCTTTTTCTTTCCCTGGACTTCGACCTGTGCTTTGGAGATCTTTTAAGCTTCTCTTTTGATACAGAGCGCCTTCCTCTGGACTTTGACCTTGATCTGCTGCTCCTCCTCCTGCGTCTTGAACGGGACCTTGAACGTGTTTGAGAACGATGAGACTTGGACTTAGATGATCTCTTCCTTGCCCTAGAACGAGATCCAGGCTCATTCTTAATTCACCTTCATTCTCTCATATCTCATGTCCCTCATTGTATCTTGTTCACAAGTCTCTCATCTCATCTAATGTTTGGAAAGCATTAGAAATATAAACCCTAACTTTGTTCCCTTCTCTCTGTTCCCCTATAGTATCTAAAAATATGACATCCTAGAACATTTCCCTAATGCTCTTTCAACTTCCTCCTCCATGCTGTAGTGCCCCATTACATACTAAATTATTCACTTGCACATGTGCCCATAGTCATGAATTGACCTTACTCTGGTGAAGAGGGTATTGATCTGATGATTGGGGAAACTCATTCATGAAAAACCAATGGACAACAGTTATCTTGGTTGTTACCAACATTTATTATCTGAAAATAAATGAAGCAAATGTAAACTGCTTCATAATACATGGAGATTAATAAAAACTATGGGGTGTATATATGTCATGATTTTGTCAAAATAGCCCAGGGAATGAAGAAAGAAGCCATAGTTAAATCCTCTTTGCATAGTAGGGGAGTATCAATATGGAACAATGCATTTTTTCCAGTGGAGAGATATTCTTGCCACTTTAGGGAAGATCTGGCCTTGGTGGTAAGTGGAAAAGGATCCCATCCCCACTTACAGAACACAAGATCTTAGGCCTATTTATTATTGAGTTAGGCATTCATCTCTCTGTCATCTTCTGCGACTTAAGATCTCTAAAGTCTTATGCAAAAGAATTTTAGCATCATCCGCCACTGTATTGATGAATTTCAAATGTAGAAAGTAGATTTTAAAGAACTGGAAGATAGTGGATGGCAGGCCTCCATTTACTGAGCAATAGCATTCAACACACTTCATGGCTTTTTCTGCTATGCTGTCATCCTTCACAAGTAACCAGAAATCCAAGGACTTGGTGAAACTCTTGATCTCCTCCACAGACATGTCCAGCTTCTCTGCAATCCCTTTGACCGACTTCTCATCCAAACCAAAATGGCTCTGGTAAAGGTTCAAGCACTTTTCCTGCTGGGGAAAATCAAAGCCATTAAAGAAGGCCATGAAGGGGATGAAGCTCAAAGCTGATGATTTCAGGGCATCCAGCCAGATCTTTTCCTTGAAGAAAGCTCTCTTCATTTCAATGGAAGTGTCAGATAAATTGGGCAACAGGAGTGCAAAGGTGTGGCGCTTATGAACAGGGAGCTCCTTCAGCAGGGTTTCCTCCAGTCTTGGGAAATCAAAGTCGTCCAGGTCAAAGTTGGAGACCAAGAAGATGCATGGCTCAGGCACTCCAATGTTGCTAAGATTAGCCAGGCAGTTGTCTCGTATCTGCTGAAGCACTCTCTCCCTTTTGAAAGACATGGGTTTGCTTTTCTCTTCATTATATAAATCATTGTCCACCTTGGTTCTAACAAAGTAGAATTTCTTGCCTATCTCCTTGATATTTTGGGCCAGCAAAGCATCATTGAGACTAAACCGGGAGGAAGAAATAATGATGAAGAAGTCATATGTAGCAAATTCCACCATTTCTAGATATTCATGTGGATAGAAATTGGGAGTTCCAGTTCCAGGCAGGTCCCAGAAGGTCACCTTGGGATATTTTGGATGTTGATAGGGAGTTTTCTTCATGGTTGTCTCCACGACTCCAACACTTGCAGAACCCTCCTCTTCACAACTAAGTCCTCGCAGGGCATTGATGAAACTGGACTTCCCAGTGCCAGATTCCCCAATCACAGCCACATCCAGAGGAGCATTCTCTGCTGCCACAAGTGATTCCTCAATTATGTCAGCCACATCTTTTAGCTTGGCCTCCTTAAGGGCTGCTTGAATTCTATCAAGGTTTTCTGAAGCAATGATACCCCCTGTCTTATTGACTAATGTGGTATAGTGAGGGATAAAGTTGATGGCCAGTTGCTGAAAATTCTTTCCTACCAGGAAGTCACATATGAATTGATCCATAGTGGTTAACAGTGGAACATCTGTAGAAAAAGGAAAGTGAATTAGGAAGACAAATGGAGCAGCAGAACAGACACATAGTGTCAGCTGAGGAAACACACTGGTCTCAACAGCCCATTCCCATTCTCTCACACTTACTCGTGTTTCTCTGATTTATTTTTCCTGATGAATTTTGTTTTCATGCTACAGAAGAAACTCCTTGTCTACTCTGATTATTCCTATGTCACAAGAATGAGGACTTATTTAATAGAGAATAACAGTACTCAAAGATATTCACATCTTGAACCTCAGAGCCTGTGAATATGTTACCTTGCATAGCAAAAGGGCACTTTGCTGGTATGATGAAGTTCAGGATCTTCAGATGCCAAGGTTTTCTTGGATTACCCAAATGGGCTCAGTATGGTAACAGGGGACCTTATAAGAAGGAGGCAAGGCCAACAGAAGAAAAGGAGATGGTTAATGGAAGCAGATGTTGGAGTGAAGATCCAGAAAGATGTAATAAGAACCACAAACTAAGGAATTGAGGCAGCTTTCAAACGCTAGAGAAGACAAAGGAATGGAATGTCTCCTGAAGCCTAGGGAAAGAACCAGTCTTGCTGACACATTGATTTGATTTGATTATTTTATTTTTACTTTCATATTTTTATTTTAATTAGAGTTAGTTAACATATAGTGTAATATTAATTTCAGTAGTAGAATTTAGTGACTCATCATTACATATAACACCTAGTACTCATCACAACAAGTGCCCTGCTTAATACCCATCACCCACTGACTCTTTGATTATAGCTCTTTTAAGATTTATTTGAGCACCTCCTCTCTGGAACTATAAGCCAATAGATATGGGTTGTTGTCTGAAGCTGCTAAATTTGTACTGATTTATTACACAGCAATGAGAAACTATTGCAGACAGTCTTACTTTCCTAAAATTTCAATATAGAGCCCAGCACATCTCCCTTCTGCAGGAAGAATCAGTCAGGGCAGCATATTAGAGAGGGCTATAGAATTGCAGACATAGCTTACATCCTATAGGCAAATAGGGGCAGGACTTGTTTTTTGGAAGAGTACAATGGGCAGAGAAAAGCCCATCAGGATATGTTTTCTAGAAGTGGACTAGCGAAGCACATAGTCCTTGTGGTAATAATTGCCCCCTAGCAATTTAATGTCCATTTATGTCACCTCATGGAAAAATTTGGGTGGGATTTAGATCATGTGAAAGGAAGTGGCAGAGGAAGTAGATAAGAGTTCTTATTTTCCCTATTCAAACCTGCACAGTCTTGAAATATAAGTATCTGATTAAATCATGGCAGTTCAAGGAAATCATTACTACGTCACTGATGGGGCCTCCTATCATTCATTATGAGTGAGGAAACTATGATTTAAAAAATATTTATACACATAAGTTTATCTCAGGGACTACCAGCACGATTTTACCAGTAAGGGCATGCTCAATGCTCATCCCCATCTTGCAAGTCGTGCAAGGAAAAATTTCAAAAGAGAGAGAATCATGACTCCCAAAGAAATATGAAATATATGTGTGTTAAAGATTTTATTTATCATCTTACTAATGAAGGAAACAGGCAGATGATATTATTGATTAAATGGAGAATCCCAAAAAGAGAAAATAATCATTCAAGAATATTGAATGCATATTGAAATGGGACAAAAGTGCTGTATTCTAAGGTGAGAGTGGGAAGTCAGTTGAACTTCCATAGACAGTGGCAGCTCCATAGTGTAATGGTTAGCTCTCTGGACTCTGAACCTCCACAGACAGATTTATATATATATGATGACTATGGACTGAATGTTTGTGTCCTCCACTAAATTCGTAGATGACATGTAAGCTCAAACTCTGGTATTAATAGGTGGATTTGTGGATGGTGCATTAGTCATGAGGGCAGAGTGACTGTGATTGGATTAGATTAAGACTGTAGAAACCTAGCTTGCTCATTCTGCCATGTGAGGTGACAGGGGGTGGTCCACCTTGGAAGTGAGCTCTCACCAAACACTGAAACAAAGATGCCTTGATCTGGTTCTTCCTATTCTCCAGAAGTATGAGAAATACATTTCTATTCACAAGCCACTCAGTCTGTGGTATGTTGTTATAGCCTGAACAGGTGGAAAGAAATTCCCAACAAAATAATTATTTTGCATTGCTCCAATTATTAAAACTCATGATATTTAGAAATAGTTCTATGATATGAATGGCTAGATTGCATTTAAACATGACATAGTTTCCAATTGGAGATGCTCAGTAAACATTCTGCTTATTCCAAATTTTCTAACAAATTTCTTATTTTAAAAAAAAGAAAGAAAAAGAGGCATCTTCAGACTATGGTTCTCTCTTTTCTGAAGAGGATTGCATGAGCAGTTGGATGAAATCTTAGCTCTCAACCAGTCAGAACTACATGTCAACTCTCTAAGCACAAAGCCAGTATTTCATCATTGCAAGTATACAGTTTTCTCACTCACCAGCCCTGAAGAGAAAAGATATTTCTGATGTCAGAGATCATGTATATTTCTACTAAAACAACAGAAAATGCTGAGCCTGGTGTAGTGTCCTTGGAGCCAGTGGCACAGGAACAATCCAGGGGCCTATACTCCCTGGGAAATGGAGGCACTGGGTGCTCCTGAAGTTATTGCCCTATGCATGGGACTAGAGAGCCTTTCTCGTGCCTGGGTAAAGTGTGAAAACAACAGGAAGGATGACATCCTCTGACTTGAACCCCTCCCTCAGGAAGACTTGGCTGACAGTTATGGGCTCACATCTACATGAAAGTGAAACCATCATCTCTCCACAGAACAAAAAATTTCAAGAAAAGAGATATAGAAGTCTTTGGGCATCAGGGGGCTCAAGGAATGAGGGGAGGGCAATACCAGGGGCCATGAGAGGCAGATCTCTGATGACTCCTATGAGGTCATTTAGCCAAGACTCTCCATGGGAGCCCTGGAGACGGGGAGGAAGGCTGAGAACAAGATTCCAAAGCTTCCAGTGAATGAGAAAGGCATCTCTATCAGAAAGAAGAAGGATTGTGACATTTCTTTTGCTGTTTCATCTTAGGAAGTCTGTTGATGGCTGCCACATTGTTACCCTTGGGCATGGATGACTCTGGCAAGTCATGGGATCATGTCTTATGAACAACTTAAACTATGAGGAAGAGCTCTGGGGGAATTTGGTAAGCAACAGGGAGGGAGATGCAGAAAGGGAGGAGAGAACCTGCCCTCTAAGATTTATACAGAAGATCAAGAGGAAAATACCAGAGAGTCTACAGAAGAACATAGTAAGATCTGCTGTATCAGATAAGATTTATTTCCATGCTGGCAATAAAGGATAGTTGGATATACAGTTGGATGCTAGCACAAGCATAGACCATCTGACCCACAGAAAGGGACACAGAGCCCTGTATAGGATTCAGACATGTGTGGAGAGGCGCAAGGGATGTCAGGGAGTATAGAAGGTGCCATCTACTAAATGGAGCTGACTAACCGGTTCTCCATATGGACAGAGGTTACTGAATCTCTGCTTACATCACTTACAATAATTAACTACAGATAGATTTAAGGCCTAATTCTCAAAAGGAATCTATAGAAGAAAATACAGCTGTTCTTAGAAAAAGATTCCTTGGAGCCTCTAAGTGGCTTACTGGTTGAGCACCTGCCTTTGGCTCAGGTTGTGATCCTGGGGTCCAGGATTGAGTCCCGCATCAGGCTCCCTGTAGGGAGCCTGCTTCTCTCTCTGCCTATGTCTCTGCCTCTCTCTGTGTGTCTCTCATAAATAAATAAATAAATAAATAAATAAATAAATAAATAAATAAAATTTTCTTTAAAAATAAAAGAAAAAGATTCCTTAAATGAGATGATACCCATATAATGATACCAAGATGACAGTGATATAACACAGATTGACCAATGTGATACCTTTGACTACATTAAAGTGAAGAGCTGAAATTCAAGGCAAAGATGCAAGTTCATACATGAATTTGACAACTAACTGTTGTTGCAGAGGAGCACATACACACACAGACATACACACACAATTACAGCTCTCAGTAGTGAGGTAGGAAATAACCACTGAGACTCAGATACCCTGGTAGCAATGGAGCCTTTGTAGTGGGTGACAGAAAGCTCCCACTCGGGGGGCCCCCCAGAGCTGGGCTGCCCCCCAGCAATCTGTGAGAGAATCACTCTGGGTATCGGTATTGTGCCCTGTTTGGTTGGCTCTGGTCTGCAGTGTTTGAGGACCGGTGGCCTGGAGCCTGATATCCCAGTATGCCCACCTCAGGGTCCAGAGTTAGACTTGCTGCTTCTAATTTAATGTTAGGAAATCAGGAAATATGATAACAAGGACATCATTACATTCTTTCTCTTTAAAGGAAAGGAAAAGCAATTCCTTTTTAGGAATGAATGGCTTAGGAAATCCCTTCTCTCCTAGTCCCACTCAGATGAGTATGAGTCCAGTCAGTGTAACATACAACCTCCAGGCTCTTGTACAGTGGAAAACTCCACTGCCCTGGTTCATCCTCTCCTCCAACTGAGTGAGACACCTGCAGCAGAGACAGGAAAAGAGTCTATTTCTCTCCTCTTTCTTCATCCCACTGCCCCATTACATGGAGGATCATGGTGTAGGGCAACTACAAGAATAGGAAAGGATGTAGGATGTTTGCAATCCAGCTGATGGCTTGGTGTGGTGAATGTCCTTCAGGAAGGGGATCTATGGAAGGTCCATGCTGATGTCTCCATTGGTATCTCAGGGCAGGCATAGTCCAGATTTTCTAGGCTTCTACCACCTCTGTGGTATCAGGAACAGCATGTCCCTTGAAACAGGCTCGCTAAAATAATCCTTGCCTTCCCTCTCCTCAACTTGTCAGCTGTCCTTTCCTGACCCAGGATGGCAATCCAGGATGGCAATGATATATTAACAATCTCTTAGCCACAGAGGATTTCATAACTTGTTATGGGCATTTGCAATCTTGGCAGAATCTTTGTAAAACAGATCTTCTTTTTCGCCCTATCACAGTCACATAGTCCCCTCCCTGGTCCCCTCTCCTGAACACAGACACCCTGGGGAGCTTTCACTGCTGTTTCCACATGAGATTGAGGACATCACAATCACTGAGAGTTTAAGCAGCTGTTGGAGTCACCAAGTCAGTAGGGAGCTGTGCTGAGTTCAGACCCTCACCTGGTTGGGGCAGGTGCATCAACTCCAGGGAGGGTCACAGCTGGGGTCAGGAAGAGAACTCTACCACAGATGTAACCTCTGCAGTCTGATCTCTGTGGGCAGAAGTGAGTTAGCTCTTGAACTGGGCACTTGGGCAACCCAAGGAGCAACTTTCTAGGCAGTGTCTGCACCCATCTGAGGGGCCAGCTTCAAGGGGGCTGAATGTGGACTCCTCACTGGTCAGGGCACTGGCCTCCAAGTAAGATTATCAGGTGTGAGGTGGCTGGTCTCAGAGCATTCCCACCCTCCCCTGGGCCTCTGGGCTAAAGGTGCTCAAATAGCCCTGCATAAGTCACAGGCAAATACTGCAGCACCCCACTCACTAGAATGAAGAAACTGAAACTGGTTCAGGCCTATTTTGTGAACTGGAGTCTTTTCCAGGAATAGAAACTGAAAGTAGCCCTCTCTGTGGTCCTTCCTGCTGGGGCTGGGATCCTGCCACTGGCTTTATTCAGAAATTGCACAGTTCTGAGCTGGAAGGGACTAAAGCAGAAAATACTGTAAGATTGCCTTCTCCTTCCCCGTTCCTCTTCTCCCTCCTGTCTAGGCTCTTCCTAGGCCAACCCCATGCAGTACAACCCCCTTCCTTCCTTCTGGAACAATCTGGGCCTAGAATCAGTTTGGGGGCATCTCAGAAGGAGTGAACTCTGCCTGAGGGCTGGACTCTTCCCCTCATACAACATAGTCACTAGTAGACTAATGTCTATTGGTATACACTTGTCTCATGCTAGCCTGATCAACTACAGCAAAATGTCTGTTTTACCATCAAGTCTACCATCAACAGGTTAAAGAGGTCTTCCCAGATCCCAATTCAAAGAATCCTGTTGGTCATAGTCTAGATCCTGGTAACTGGGTATTCTGGAATTATCATTTTGAACTCCATTGAAAGGTATCTTACTAAGTGCTCACAACCACTGACATTCCTAGAAAACTAGAAGGTGTTGAGTCTTGGATACACATTTCACAGATAAAGAAGGCCTTACCTGATATCTGTCCACCACAGATGCTAGAGACCTCTAAACCAAACTGCTGAGGAAGGTAAGTAGCTGACATCTAGGTATACTGCTTTCATCCAAGATAACAGATCAACTTTTCATACTTTAAATGTGAAACTCTTTCTTCTTCTTTTCCTTTTCTTTACTCTGGCATAGTCTTAGAAATATAATGCCCTCAGCTGTATGTCTAAGCCAGTTGCTCAGAAAGGAGGATAAACTCCAGAAGTTAAAACAGTCTTCTGTTTTAGGCTAAGAGAAAATATAATTGTGTCCCTAAGTTTTGTCAAATAAAATAAGACATCTCATTGGTCAGGTCTCTTAGATTTATATCACTGAGTTAAAAAAAAAGACCAACCAGGGCACATTCATGATTCAGGATTTGCTTTTATTGTCAAGGCTTTTTCCCTGGTTATAAGTAAATTTGCATAACAGTTTGTCAGGAACTTTTCCTTAACTCCTAAGTATATTGCAGAATCCATTGCTAAGAGCATAGCTACGCAACAAAGATCCTTAGACTCTCTGGCCAAAGATTTTCTTGACAGTCAACAATCTCTGATTATCTTTTAGCTGAGCAAGAGCTGTCTATACTGTGATCAAAACCACCTGGTGCATCTGGATTAACACTTCTGAGGAAGTTGAAGTTTTATTTATTTATTTTAGAGAGACAGTGTGTGCATGAACATGAGTGAGCATGGGGAAAGGCAAAGGGAGAGAGATAAAATATCTCAAGCAGACTCCCCACTGAGCATGAAGCCCAACATGGGGCTCAATCTCACAACCCTGAGATCATGATCTGAACTGAAATCAAGAGTCTGATGCTTAACAGACTGAGCCACCCAGGTGCTCCTACATCTGGGGAAGTTGAAAGACAACCAGATAAGATCACTGAGCAGAGGACACCTGGGTGGCTCAGTGGTTGAGCCTCTGCCTTTGGCTCAGGTTGCGATCCCAGGGTCCTGGAATCAAGTCCCAGAAAAAGGCTTCCCACAAATATCAGAAAGGGAAACAGAACATGAGAGACTCCTAACTCTGGGAAATGAACAAGGGGTGGTAGAAAGGGAGGTGGGCGGGGGGTGGTGGTGACTCGATGACGGGCACTGAGGGGGGCACTTGATGGGATGAGCACTGGGTGTTATGCTATATGTTGGCAAATTGAACTCCAATAAAAAAAAAAAAAGGCTTCCCACAGGGAACCTGCTGCTCCCTCTGCCCCTTTGTGTCTCTCATTAATAAAATCTTTTTAAAATATCATTGAGCAAACCACTTGGCTTAAAAAGATTCTGTTAATAGGGTCTTACTTTAAGTAATTCTGATTGTTTGGAATTTGGCAATCATGCTTTTAAAGTGCACTCTAATCGTTACAGAGAATCCTGTTTGTAAAATTATAATAATCTACCAGATACACTGTATGCTCTCAAAGGTTTTATTTTTTTTATTTTTTAAGGGTTTAATTTATTTATTCATTATAGACAGAGAGAGAGAGAGAGAGGCAGGGACACAGGCAGAGGGAGAAGCAGGCTCCATGCCAGGAGCCTGACGCGGAACTCGATCCCGGGTCTCCAGGATCACGCCCTGGGCTGAAGGCGGCGCTAAACCGCTGAGCCACCCAGGGATCCCCCTCAAAGGTTTTATTTTATTTTATTTTTTTATTTACTTATGATAGTCACAGAGAGAGAGAGAGAGGCAGAGACACAGGCAGAGGGAGAAGCAGGCTCCATGCACTGGGAGCCTGACGTGGGATTCGATCCTGGGTCTCCAGGATCCCGCCCTGGGCCAAAGGCAGGCGCCAAACCGCTGCGCCACCCAGGGATCCCTATTTTTTTTTAATTTTTATTTATTTATGATAGTCACACACACAGAGAGAGAGAGAGAGAGAGACAGAGACAGAGACAGAGACACAGAGACAGAGACACAGGCAGAGGGAGAAGCAGGCTCCATGCACCGGGAGCCCGACGTGGGATTCGATCCCGGGTCTCCAGAATCGCGCCCTGGGCCAAAGACAGGCGCCAAACCGCTGCACCACCCAGGGATCCCCCCCCCCTCAAAGGTTTTAAATGCATGTTCACAGATGCTAGCAATCAAGGAAATAATCTCCCTGGGCCTGGAACATCACAAAAAAAAAAAAAATACAGAGCATGGGTGATTAAAAAATTGTGAAACTGAAATCTTTGTGAATATTTCAGAGATTAAGCAAAAACATCATGACATGTGAATACCATGCAAAGGATCATCAAAAGCTGTGAGAATACTGGACAGTAGCTAAAAGTAGCACCAGTGCCTTACATTTTGATCACATCTCTAGGTTAAGCAGAGAGTCTGATTAAAGTAGGGGAATTGTGAAAAAGAAGGACTACTGAGCCACAGGGTCACAGGGAGCCACTTAAGGTAAGTCCTCAACTCAGTAAACCCAGACCTAATAACTAACCTAACTACAGTTTCATTTCCCTACACATGTATAATTTAACCAGCCAAAGTAGGAATTTCCTGATCAGTGATGGGAACAATAGACCCTTTCCCTTCCGCTTACCAGAATAATTTTGACAAAAACAATTATTAACTAATAATTTATTTCCTTTTCCCTTCCCATCTTCCTTTAAAAACATTTCCTTTCCTACAACTTCTCCCAATTTCCTAGATAAGATGCAGCCTAATTCGTGAATCATTTAACAAGGTAAATGGCTCTTTAAAATGTAACCACTAAAATAAATAAATAAATAAATAAATAAATAAATAAATAATAAAATGTAATCACTTGAATCTTCTTTTCTAACAGATCATATATGCATTGTTTACACAGGGAAAAGTATTTAGGCATGAGATGTGGGTGTCTGACCCACAAGGGCTTGGGGAAAAGCCCCTATACACCAACACCCCCTGACGTTCATACTATTCTTCTCAGTTCACAGGAATAAAGTTTGCTTTCCAATCCGTCTATGAACATGTCTCAAATAGTTAACTGCTCTAACCAACTTACAGCCACTCACCAGACATCCTGCCCCTCAGCCTCCAAGGTCCACAGCACCCAAAAAGGAGCATCCAGTCTCTCCCACCCTTAGACCTACAGATCTATGATTCTATTTTTAGATCTCCACACAATCCAGAGTAGCCTCTTGCTTACCAGCTCCTGAAAGAAAAGAGACTTCTGGTGTCAGGGTTGAGCTCTGAATGTGTGCCCTGGCAGGGCAGGAAATGCAGAGCCTGGATGAAGTGCTCCCTGCAGCCCAGGGCAGAAACACTCCTCTGCACAGACTGGCCTCGCACTGGAACAGGTCCTGTGTGCTGGTGTGGTCACTCTGCAGAGATTAAAGAGCTGACCGTCACTTGCAATGTCTAAACTGTGTGTGAGATGCTGGCAGGACTTAAGTAGTCTCTGGCCTCTACTCCATCCTCACAGGAATTTGGCCAATTGTAAAGGAGCAGCCAGCACATTGTAGAGCCCTGCATTTCCAGGAACAGAAAGTGACTCAAAGTTCAGTAGGCTTCTTTGGCGAGAAACACAGCCATGGCCAGGAAGTGAAACTGAAAGGCACCATGGACAGTGATTTTGTGTGTTTTGGCAACATGAGTGAGAGGAGGGCACAGGACCCCAGGCAGGAGGCTTCTCGGTGACCCCCAAGAGGACACTCTAACCAGGCCCCAGGCTCCAGGCCAGGCAGAAACTGAACCTAGAATCAGAGAACACAGGCCCGAGTCCTGGAAAATGACTCTCATGCCTCCCCACCCCCCGCCCCTCCCCGTTAACCACAGACAGTCCAAACTCTCTGGGGAGTGAAGTCTAATTAAGAGTGTATCTAGTCCTTGTCCCTGGTTCCTGGCACAGCTTCAGAAACCCTGGGAATTTCCTGAATGAAAGGAGCTGACTTTGTTGTGCTAAGGAAGTGATTCCAGGTGGGATCCTAGGTAGCTTCAGGTCAGTGGCTGGTCACCAGAAAGACCAACCCTGTGAATGGAGGGTGGGGACTTTGGGTCAGCTGGACCTCTGGGAAGGAGAAGAGGGATGCAGATTGAGTTCAGTCGAATGGCCAATGATTTTTGATCAATCATGTTCACATAATGAAGCCTTAATCAAAACCCTGGACACCAATGCTCAAGCGGGCTTCTTGGTTGATGTTTGCATTGATGTTCCGGGAGGTTGCACGCTCTGGCTCCATGGAGAGAGGCATGGAAGCTGTGTACTCCCTCCCAGACCTCACCCTATGTGTACTCTTTTAAATAAAACCATACTCGTAAGTATAACACTTTTCTGACTCATGTGAATCATTCTAATCAATTAGCAAGCCTGAGGGGGTTATAAGGGCCCCCTAATTTGTAGGCAGTTGGAGGTCCGGGTGACCTGGGAACTGCTTCAAGTGCAGCTGGTGACTGGAGTGAGGGTAGTGTTCTCAAGGACTGAGTCCTAAAACCTGGGGAGTCTTTGTTAACTCTGGGTGGTCAGGGCAGGAAGTAAAAGGCAATATACCCAGTGAGGGTGGAAACTGAGTAGAGAGTAACCCTGTGTCATTGGCAACCATATTCTGGCTTTAATTTTTATTTTTTTCATTCATTTGTTGAAAAGAAAACTGCTATGTAATTTATAGTTCAAGAGTTACAGGACATATACAATAATAATATCCCTCCACAAAACAATGGCCATTCATCAAGTGTCTGCACTAGAGGGACTGTGTCATCCTCACAGGTCCATTTTATGAAGGTATGGGCAAATATGCAAAATGTATTTTCTCCTTTTTAAAGAATGGCAGCATTCCCTACACAATATTCTGAACCCGGGGTTCTTCATTTGTCTGCCTATATGGATAGTATCACGTCACAGCAAATAGTGATAGTTTTGCTTCTTCCTTACCAATCTGTATGCCTTTTATTCCTTTTACTTATTTGATAATCCTAAAATTTGTATGGAGCCACAAAAGATCCCAAATAGCCATACCAGTCTTGAGAAAGAGAAACAAAGCTGGAGGTGTCACAATTCCACATTTCAAGTAATATTTCTACTGTCAGTAATTAAAACAGCATGGTACTGACACAAAAATAGGCAGAAGATCAGTGGAATAGAATTAAAAGCCCAGATAAATACACATGAACATGATCAATTAGTGTACAACAAAGGAGGCAAGAATATGCAAAGAGAAAAAGCAGTTTTTTCAACAAGTGGTTTTAGGAAGACTGGATAGCTTTGTGCAAAAGGACAAAACTGGACCAGTTTTAGACCATACTCAAAAATAAACTTAAAATGGATTAGAGGCCTAAATGTGAGACCTGAAACCATAAAATTCCTAAAGAACATATGCAGCAATCAAATCTCTTGGCTGTCTCCCTCAGCAACATATTTATGTCTCTCCAGGCAGGGCAAACAAAGGCAAAAATAAATTATTGTGACTACAAGGACAAGAGCAAAGGAAAACAAGCCTCTCATGGCAGCAGGGTTGCAGGGCTCGCAGGGCAGCAGGACTTCAGGCCTCGCAGGGCAGCAGGGCAGCAGACGTCTTAGGTTAGCAGGGCGCAGGCCTCACAGGGCAGCAGGGCAGCAGGTGTCTCAGGTCAGTAATGCAGCAGGCCTCACAGGGCAGCAGGGCAGCAGGCGTCTCAGGGCAGCTGGGTTGCAGGCCTTGCATGGCAGCAGGGCAGGGGCCTCACATGGCAACAGGGAAGCAGGGCTGTAGGCATCGAGGGCAGCAGGACAGCAGGCATCTCAGGGAAGCAGCGCTGTAGGCGTCAAAGAGCAAAGGGCAACAAGCCTCTCAGGGCAGCAGGGTTGCAGGGCTCGCAGGGCAGCAGAGCAGGCCTCTTAGGGCAGCAGGGCAGCAGGCCTCGCAGGGCAGCAGGGCAGCAGGCCTCGCAGGGCAGTAGGGCAGCAGGGCACCGGATGACTCAGGGCAGCAGGTCTCTCAGGACAACAGGCCAGCAGGTCACCCACGGCTGCAGGACTCGCAGGGCAGCAGGGCCGCAGGGCAGAGGCCACTCAGGGCAGCAGGGCTGCAGGCCTCGCAAGGCAGCAGGGCAGAAGGCCGTACATAGCAGCAGGGCAGCTGGCTACAGGCGTCGTAGGACAGCAGGGCTACAGGCATCCCAGGGTACAGGGCTGCAGGCCTTGTAGGACAGCCGGGCAGAGGCTTCACATGGCAGCAGTGCTGCAGACATCACAGGGAAGCAGGGCAGGAGGCGTCTCAGGTCAGCCGGGCAGCAGGCCTCGCAAGGCAGCAGGGCAGCATGGCTGCACGCCTCACATGGCAACAGGACAGCAGAGCTGCAGGCCACACAGGGCAGCAGGGCAGCAGGCGTCTCAGGGCAAAATGGCTGCAGGACTCGCAGGGCAGCAGGGCCGCAGGGCCGGCCTCTCAGGGCATCAGGGCTGCAAGCCTCGCAGGGCAGTAGGGCAGCAGGGCTGTAGGCCTCTCAGGTCAGCAAGGCAGTAGGGCTGCTGGCCTCGCAGGGGAGCAGGGGAGCAGGCGTCTTAGGTCAGCAAGGCAGCAGGCCTGGCAGGGCAGCAGGGCCGAGGCCTCACGTGGCAGCAGGGCAGGCCCTCCGCGAAGCAGGCCACCCTCGCCCTCTGAGCCTTGGGAGGCTCCTGAGCTCGCCCCGCAGGGCCTCCCCGGGCAGGGCTGGCCGCCACACCCTGGGGTCTGAGTGCCCCAGGCCTCTGCAGTCCCAAGCCCCGCCCCCCCACCCCCTAGCAGCAACCATGCTGGTGCTCTATGGCCTCAGCCTCTGGAAGGTGGGCCCCGCCCCCGCCGCCGCCCCCCTCCCCCGTCCCCTCCACCCTCCCCTCCACCCCTCCCCCCGCTGCTGGGCGGGGCTGCACAGGCCCGCGTGGGCGGCTTTGTGACCCCTTAGCACGTGGGTGCACCGCTCAGAGGCTCAGTGTGTGCTTGACCTGGAGAGGAGTCAGACGCCTTGGAGACCCTGTCCAAGGCCTTAGGCTCCAACCTCCGACCCTGGCGCACAGCTAGCCCTGAATGGGCCATTTATTTTCCAAGTTTCTTCGCCCTCCCCGCCGCCGGCCCCTGTCCGGCCGGAGTCGCCCCCTGGTCACTCCTGCCTGTGACACCGCCCATGCTGGCCGCGACCACCCTGCCGCTCCTGCACCTGCCGCCTGCTCTGGGCGCAGGCCGTTCCAGCGGGCTCGCAGGCCTGTACCAGCTCGCTGCCACGGGGAGCCCGGGAGGCGGCATCCGCTCCCCCAGGCCGCGGGCCCCCCTCTGGGCCTCCTCCCCGCGGTGAGCTGGAGGAGCCCTCCGGGTGGCCGTGCGCTGCCTGCGCGCAGTTCCCTGGTGCTCCGGCCCTCGAGGACTGCGAGGATCCCTCCTCCCGTGCGCAAGGTCGCTCTCCTGCATTCACTACCTGCGCAGGTAGCCAGGGCTGCGAGTCAGGTACCATGCCCGCCCCTCCCCGCTTCGATCCCACAGGGCATGGAGGAGGAGGTCCCAGAGCACCCCGCAGGACAGAGGGAGGCTCCTGCAGAGGCCAAAGGGCCGGATGGTGGGAGTGGCCGCCCCCACAGCCGCGGGGATACACAGGGGACATGCGAGCGCCCCGAGACCAGTGGCGTTCTCAGCCTCCACCGAGCCAGCCCTGCACCTCTGGACCGACGCCTCAGCCCCTCAGGAGAGAGCTCGTGGCACAGCACCCAGATGTCTCCGGTGTCCTCCTCGGAAGGCCGTGCGGCCACCTCTTCATGCGGTCCCGCGGGAGATGGCCTCGGGAAGGCCGACAGGGATGCGGCGGTGCTCCCGGGCCCACGCCCATGCTGCCCCTTGCCGCAGGAGACATCCGCGGAGGAGGCGGCGACTGAAAACCATCAGCCCGTCCAGAGCGTGCGGGACGCATCGAGGAAGGACCCGCAGGCTGAGGAGCCCTCAGGCGTCTCACCCCGGAGCCGTGGCCCGCCAGCACCTGCCAGCAGCGGGCGAAACAAAAGGAAACTGGGCATGCCCCTCTGTCTGCCATTGCCGCCGCCACTACCGCTGCTGTGGGATCGAGGGGACGTGCCCCCACCCCCTAAGCTTCCTTGCGTTGCTGTTGACAAGGACCTAGGCACCGTGCAGAACACCGAGCGTCCGAGGAACAGGACCTTGAAGCGCAGAACAAAGACCTTGGCCGACTGCCGGGCCGCTCAGCCTGCCCCTGCCTGCCCCCCGCTGGCCTGGGACACCGCAGGCTCCGCGCCCCTGGCCGCTCCCGCTGCCCAGGTCCCTGTGCCTCCCACCGCCGCGGCCGAGCCTTCTGCCGGGCCCCCGATCCTATCTGTCCCTCCGTCTTCCCCAACACAACAGGGTGGCCCGGAAACAGGACACGGAGGTCCTAAATCTCCTCCTCTTGCTGTTCCTGCTGATTCTCTTCCTCCGCTTACTTCCAGTCCCACT